GTGGGGGGGCTTCTGCGGCCCCAGAAATCAACGAATCGGCACCGAATGTGTAATCGCTTCCGATGGTTCCTTCGGGAGGCAATTTTATAGATTTTGGGGCCTATTTGGAAGGACCGAAAATCATGACGGGGCATGGCACTCGAATAAAATACGCCAACGCTGCAGCGGGGGCACGATTCGGAACAAGCGGAAGCGCGGTAATGAGGCCAGAGTTGCAGCGTGAGTACGATTCGGAATAAGCGGTAGCCCGAAACGGAGGCCAGCCAGCGCTTCAGCGATAGCAGCATTCCATATATGTATATACACACAAGACTGCATTGGCGCTTCGCGCCATGCACCTTGTTCTTTGTAGTTTCGACTGCAGGCGGTTTGCGTGCGCGTGGACATGGGGCGGGCCACCGCCAAGTCGGAATAGGTGAGGAGTTGCTGACCGGGAGCGACCGGACAGCACCAGCTGAGGCCATCTCAGGGCGCTTCGGGGCCCAGAGGCGCGAATTTGTCTCAGGCGAGTGGTTGGGCTAGCATGGAGCAGGGCATCCTCCTTTTTCTCCTCCTCTCCCTTTTCCTCCTCCTTTTTCTCCTCCTCATCCTCATCTTCTTTCTCCCCTCTCCCCCTCTTCCTCCAATTCCTCCTTCTTCTCCTCTACCTCCTCCTCCTTCTCCTTCTCCTCCTCCTCCTCCTCCTCCTCCTCCTCCTCCTCCTCCTCCTCCTCCTCCTCCCCCTCTTCCTCCATCTCCTACAGAACATGCGATTTTCGACATGCGCATTGCTGGGCTGCCGGCTTCGAGCTCCGTAGAGTCCCAAGGCTGGCCCAAGACGTCCAGCAACATTGAAGCATCAATGCGAACCCATTGGACAATCAATGTTTTTCGCCTTCTCGCATTTCGCTTACGATCGGCCCCAGGACGGCTCCAAATGAGTCCCCAGACAAGCCCCAAAGAGGCCCAAGGCTGGCTCAACAGGGCCTGGAGAGTCGGAAATCAGAGAAAACCCAGTTGGACAAACAATGTGTTCGGCCTTCTCGCTTTTCTTTTCCGGTTGGCTGAAGAGAGATGAGCCTAGGCCCAGCATGACCTCAGAGAGGCGTGAGCCGAAGCCCACAGAGGCCGAAGGCTGGCCGAAGAGGGTCCAAAAGGTAGAAAATCCGTGATTCCATGGGATAGTCAATGTGTTTGGTTTTCTCGCCTTGTCGATTCCGACTGGCTCTTGAGGCATCAAGATAGGCCCAGGACGGCTCCAAATTAGTCCCCAGACGAGCCCCAAGGAGGGCACAGACTGGCCCTCGACGGCCCGGAGGTTCGAACATCAAAAAACAAACCCAGTGGAAAAATCATGTTTTCGGTTTTCTCGCCTTTTCGCTTCCGGTCGGCTCGGTAGGCGTCAAGATAACCCCACCATGGCTCCAGAAAGGCGCAAGCCGAGGCCCACAGAGGCCTAAAGCTGGCCGATGAAGGCCCAAAGAACTTCAATTGAAACCGACAATCAATGTTTTTCGCCTTCTCGCCTTTTCGCTCACAATCGGCTCTTGAGGCGTCAAGGCAGCCCCATGACGGCTCCAAATGAATCCGTAGACGAGCTCCAAAGAGGCCCAAGGCTGGCCGAAGCATGCCCAGATAATTGAATATCGATGAACCCCCTTGGGAACAAAAACATTTTTTTTGGTCTTCTCACCTTTTCGCTTACGTTCGGCTTTTGAGGCTCCAAATGGGTCCCCAGACGAGCCCCCAAAAAGCCGAAGGCTGGCCCAAAGAGGGCCCGGATGGTCGAACACCAGAGAAAACCCAAGGCGCAAGACAGGCCCGAGGATTCGAAATTCGTTTGGGGAGGGGTCGTGGAGGGTTCGCTTTTTCCCGGGTCCCTGGCCTTATAATATGTGCATCGGAGTATACACATCTATATATATATATATGTATATTAATATATATATATATATATATATATATATATAATATTTGTACACACATACAGATATAGAAATAAGAGAAACCACATAATCGCGAAAGGAGGACGCGTAGCCTGAAATAGCACGGCGTAGCGACGCCCCAGGGTGGGGTGGCTTCTGTGGCCCCAAATGAATCGACACCGAATGTGTAATCACTTCCGATGGTTTTTTCGGGAGTCTATTTTTCAGATTTTGGGGCCGATTTGGAAGGACCGAGAACCATGCCGTGGCATTGCGCTGGAAATAACGACGCCAGCGCTGCGGCGGGAGCACGATTCGGAACAAGCGGAAGCGCGGACATGAGGCCAGCGCTGCAGCGGGAGCGCGATTCGGAGCCAGCGGTAACCCGAACATGAGGCCAGCGCTTGACCGAGAGCAGAATCTTGAAAAGAGTCAGCGCGGAAGCGCGGGAATGAGCACGCGTAGCCTGCCACAACATGGCGTGGCGACGCCCCAAAAGGAGGGGGGGTCCGCGGTCCAAAAAATGAGCGAATCGTCACCGGTTTGAAATGGGGGCGCCCGCGTCGCGCGCGGCCCGGGCCCCGAGGTGGGGGTGGGGGGCGAGACGGCCGGGGGGCGTGGGGTTGCGTTCCAGTCTCGGATAGACAGGGTTGCGCGCGGGGACAGGGGCCACATTTCGGCCAATTGACACCGACGAGACGGGCGCGAACGGAGTGAAGCGACAGCTGGGTGGACAAGAGAGTTCAGCGGCGGCGAGCATCTCCGCGCCCCGGGACGGTGCAGCATGGAACTTTTTGATGAGCGCCCCGTGCTAGCAGGCAGCAAGAGCAAGGGCCGCGGCGAGACTTAATCGCCATCCGGCGCCCGTCACAATGATGATGATGAGGGCCCTCCGAACAGGCCCAGCGAGTGGCGGGGGCAGCTCGGTGAGAGAAGACGGGGGGACGTCGCGGGGAAGGCCAGCCCGAGGGGCAGTGTCAAATGCAAGTGCGGAGAGAAGCGCGTGCGTGCAGTTGACTTCGATGCCCGTGTTAGTGATTCCATCAAGCTGGGGCAAGGCTGGTTGAACGTTATGTGGAAGTGCAGTTAGTGGATAGACTAGATGGTGCTCCCAGAGATACTGCAGCCTCTCAAAATCTGGATGATGATGGGCTCGAGGCGGTGGTGGGCACCCGCCCTTGCCTGGGTCGTCTATGACGCCGCAGAGCCGCCGCCGCCGTGGCCCCCGAATCGGGCAGGCGCAACAGCTCCGCCTCCGGGATGCGCAACTACGATCAGAGGGTGACTATGGGTGCAACTGATGGTGTTGCTGACGTTCCCATGCCCATTCAAGTTGCAGATGTTCGCGAGGTGCTCGGGTCGGCCGGGGAGTTTTTGGGCGCCGGTGACCGAATCGCGCTGGGCGTGGGCGAGGACGGATGGCCCGGCAGTTGCACGGGGCGCCGTTCGACTCGGCGCACAACAGCAGCTAAGGAGACAGGATGACCCTTCCAGTTCAATGTCAGGGTGCCCAGAAAATCAGGGCGCGAATATCAGAGTGAGGTCAGCAAAAGTGAGGGCCCCCCGAAGGAGGGGGCCCTGGCAGAGGGCCAGGTCTATGAGGTCCCTGCCAGACCGCAAGGCCCATCCAGAGCAGTTATTCTTGGCGTCGACGAAGCAAGCGATTGCGAGGGCGGGGGCAGTTAGCTGAGTGATGTGGACTTTGGCAGACAAGGGGCTACGCGGTGCAACTCGCCTGCCTGGCCGAAGTTGGTGTCCCCCTTGCGTTGTGGGTCTTGTCAGAAGGCGCAATCGCTGGACAAGATGAAACGGTGGCGAGAGGAGAAGTGTCCGCAGTTCCAGTTGACTGCATGCGGTAAAACGGTAAGGAAGGAGACGGCGCATATGAAGAGAGAGAGAGAGAGAGGCAACCTTGCATGAGTGATGCGCTTCCGCAAAACAGAATTGATTTGGGGCAAGGTATTCTTCGACGAATGAGTCGGCCCGTGCCATGTTAGAGATGCTTGGCGACGCGATTGCGTCCGCGGGCCGCATATCAGTGATCGTTAGCAGCGGTGGTGAGCCAGCGTTGTTCGCAGTTCAAGCCTCGTGCGGCGTGGGCATAGGGGTGGGATTTCGCCTGGCTGGGCACTCGCATTCCCATGGTTCAACCGAAAGGCGCAATTGGCAGCGCATGTAAGAGCTAGAACCGTGACGTGTGTGTTAGATAGCAGCTACAAGACTGAGTCCAGTGAGCATCGCGCGTTAATGCCCGAGGCAGTGTCGCGTACGGAGGACGGCCTGCGAGAGATGTCTTGGCAGAAAGTTTGAAACGGCAGTTGCCCGAATTTGGCGAGCGCGGAATGTTCCACAATATTCGCTGCCCGAGAAGCAGGGCGGAATGTCAGGGCCCTGGCGGGGCAGTGGGGTCTTTCTCGACGTCGACGAGGTCGGTCAAGGGAAGGCGCAAGGGGCCGTTGAAATCAGTGTGTCTAGGAGGAAAAGCAGTGAGGAGGCGAGGTGGTGCATTGAGGACGTCGCTGCACGTGCGTTGGGGGGCTCAACTTGTGAAGTTCCGATTGTCTTTTTAACGCGAGATTGATGCGCGCGGCGCCCAGGCGACAACCGCATTTTGACAACGGCCTGCCCTCAATCCATGAATCTCTTGCAATTCTGAAAACGACTGCGCGCGACACTCAGGAGGGAACCGCATTTTGAAAACGCCCCGCCCTGAATCCGTGAAGCTTTCGCGGTTTTTTATGACGAATGTTCGCGGCGCTTAGGCGAGGGCCTGATTTTGACAATCACCCGCCCTCCATTTGCGAAACTGCTGTCGTATTCAGCTTACTTATCATAAATGACAAGGACATCGCGTGCGAAACGCCCGACCCGGCATTCCGACTGGCTTCGGGGCGCGGCGCGGCGCGGTCGCGCGACAGACCGCGCCGCGTCGCCAGAGGAGGAGGAGTGGGAGGAGGGAAACAGAAGAAAAGGGAGAGGATATCATGGGAGGTTGCAGGGCGCGAGGCGACGAGAAATAGCAGGAGGACGGCGGGCAACGGTACCAGCAGCGGTTGCCGTGCACGCCGCCGCGCTGGCGACGCCGTTGCGTGCCAGGTTTGGGAAGCCGGCCGACCTCGCGGCGCACCAGGCGCAGCAGGACGTCCGTCCCTGCGCGTGCGTCAGCGGCCGGCCCGGCGGCTGCGCTGGTGCAGCGCGGTGCCGCGAAAACATCACGACATGAGGTTTTTGGCCGTTTCTGGCTCTTGGTGGCTTTTCCTGGGCGCCTGGACTGTCAGATAACTGTTCGGGATGAGAGATGTGCCCTGGGGAGATGGTCGGGAATTCCGGGGACCCCGTGTTGAACGTAGTGGGACGTCGCATTTCTCGGCCTTCCAAGGGGGACAAGATGAGGCGCGGGAAGAAGGAGGACAAGGAGGGTGAGCAGGAGCACGAGCACAAGCACGAGCAGGAGCAGGAGGAGGACGAGGAGGAGGAGGAGGAGGAGGGAGGAGGAGGAGGAGGATATGGAGGAGGAGGAAGAGGATGATGATGAGGATGAGGATGATGACGATGACGATGCTGGTGCTGATGATGATGATGAGGATGCTGATGATGATGGTGATGCTGATGATGATGATGATGATGATGATGATGATGATGATGATGATGATGATGATGATGATGATGATGATGATGTGACGGAGGAGGAGGAGGAGGAAAAGAGGAGGAGGAGGAGGAGGAGGGGGAGGAGGAGGAGGCGGACGAGGAGGAGGAGGAGGAGGACCAATGTAAACTCAACAGTCATCAGCGATGTTGGAATAAACCCTCCCCCGAAGTTCTCTCTTCAGAGGCACCTACAACTGTTCATTTCCACTGAAGGAACTGCCCCGCTGGAAGACAAACGTTTGAAGACCCTGAAGAGTGCCAAGGCATTGTTTTCGGGATTCCAGCGCCACGGATCAATCTGACTGTCGCGTCTTGACGATCTTGAATCGCGCCAGAAAGCCATTCGGACTTCAGCACCACGAGTCAACGTAATTGTGGCGCCCTCACACTCCTGAATCTTTCCAGAGCGCCGTTTAGGGTACGTTGATCACGGGAATCCGTGAAGACCTGGATTTTTAACAACGAATGCGCGCGGCGCTAAGGCGAGAACCCCATTTTGAAAACGACTCGCCCTCAATTCGTGAAGGTCTTGCGATCTTTTATGACGAATGTACGCGGCTCCATGGCGAGAGCCACATTTTGAAAACGACTCGCCCTCGATCCGTGAAGTTCTCGCACATTTTGAAAACGAAGGTGTGCGTCGCCAAGGCGAGAACAACATTTTGAAAACCACCCGCCCCCCAATTCGTGAAACTCGTGCAAACTTGAACGACGAATGTGCGCGGCGCGGCGCTCAGGAGAGAGCCACATGTTGAAACACACCCGCCCTCAATCCGTGAAGCGGTTGCCAGTTTTCAAAACGAATGTGCGCGGTGCTGGGGCGAGAGCCACATTTTGAAAACGGCCCGCCCCCAATTTGTGAAACCCTTGCAGAAACGCATGTGCGCGGCGCTGAGACGAGAGTCGCATTTGGAACACCAACCGCTCTCAATCCGTGAAGCTGTTCCAAACTTTTTTAGCTTCAGGGTCATGAGCGGTGAGGAAGTCCGCCATGCAAACAAGACTCGGGGTGCGACAGAGAACCGTTACTATTGAGTAACAGGGAAGGAGGAGGAAGAGGAGGAGGAGCAGGACGAGGAGAAGGAGGATGAGGAAGAGGAAGACGAGGAGGAGGAGGAGGAGGAGGAGGAAGTGGAGGAGGAGGAGGAAGTGGAGGAAGAGGAGGAGGAGTACGAGTATGAGGAGGAGAACGAGGAGGAGAAGGAGGAAGAGGAGGAGGAGGCGGAGGAGGAGGAGGAGGAGGAGGAGGAGGACGTCAGGTGTCAGAGGAGGAGAGCGCCACACGTGTGTTTTATTTGTATTGTTGCGCACACATGCTGGCATTGTCCCGCGCCAGTCTTTTTGATATTTTTCGCGGCCGTCCTTGTATCGGCTTGCGGTTTTCGAGGAACGCAACGCCCCCGCCGCCTATGTCGTCTGACGGCGCAAAGGGGGGAGGAGGAGGATAATGAGGAGAAAGAGCAGGAAGAGGAGGAGGAGGATGAGGAACAGTATTACTAATTATACGAAGAAGAATGGTAATACTAATCATACGATTACGAAGAAAACGAATAATAATAATAAGCTGACGGCGAATCCGAATGCGACTGCGAACAATGCTAATCCTAATAATGGCAATACGAATATTAAGCACACGACTAATACTAATACCACTAAACATGATAAACGCAGTCGTGTGGATACTACTAACGATAAGGCCAATACGACTATGAATACTGATAGTACGGATAACATGTTATTACTAAGAAAATCATATTCACATAATACGACTAATACTGATACGAATCATCGGAGGAACGTTGCGAATCAGAATATGAATAATACTCGCACTACGAATACGAAACGTATTACGAATAAGACGAATAAGGATGCTAATGATAATGAACGGAACAATGATAATCCGATTTGTAATAGTACTACGAATAACGCGAATAGTATTAACCATATTGGGTTTATTAATGGTAAGAATCGTAAGACTAATGTTCATACTAATACGAATGTCAACAATACCACTAATAATACGACGTATAACAAGCGGATCGGATCGGACGTCGCAGTGCCATTCCACCAGAAAGATCGCTACTCGTGCCGATTCGGCCCCAAGAGTTTCCCAGAGATCGACACAACTTGAGAGATAACACAATTCAGATAGCCAGCCCTCCACGGGGTCCTACAACTAATCCGAATTTGGCACGATGTACCCTGCATATCGGGAAGCGCCCCCCAACGTTACCTCGGGGTACGGTCCCGAGGCAACGGGCGAGATCTACCCGCAATGCCCGGGGCAACCACAGGGGACGTGTAGCCCCGCGATGTCCACCTTGCCAGGACTTGGAAAAAGGAGAGGGAGGAAAAGGAGGAGAATGAAACGTGCGTCTGCGACGGAAAGCAAAAACCACGATTCTGTCGAGACGGCGCCTGGTGGCTGGCAATGCAACGTCGCTGTCGTAACGGCACGCCGCGGCCGAAAAAAAACGAGGATTTGTCGTAATGGCACTCTGCGCCGCTTGGTGGATTGGCTATAAGTGTAAATGTTTGCCCCACTTTGGTGCCGAGGAGGAGGAGGAGGAGGAGGAGGAGGAGGATGAGGAGGAGGATGAGGAGGCGGAGGACGAGGAGAAGGGCGAAAGCAGCTGCAGGGCGCCTACCGCAACAACCGCATGTTGAGCGGGACAGCGGTCAAGGCGCATCGCGTGCTAAAGTCAGGATGCGGGCGCTCCCGCTCAGAGCCTCAAAAGCAGGATGCTCAGGGCCCATCCCTCGCCGTCGAAGGTACGCAAGCGCTGCTCGAGGAACTGCTCGAGCCACTCCTGCGCCTCGCGCTCCATTGGCCCGGAGGTGCGCGGCCGGCCTTGACCTCGCCCACCTGGCGCATGGCCGCGATGACGGTCTGCCGCACCCCCAGGTCGGTCAGCGAGGACGTGATGCGCTTGTGCTTCGGTAGTACATCTTGGCCCGCCTGCAGAACCTCACCGTCTCGGCCATCTCCTCGGCGCTCACCCCGTCCCACGTCGTCTTGTACTGCTGGAGCTCGCCCAACGTCTTCTGGCCGATCGCGGCCCCCTGGTCGATCAGCGCCTGCACGAGGCCCATCCATATGTACACGTGCGGGGGACCCATTTTGCGGCCCTTCCCCGCCGCCTCTTCTTGCGTGTTGCAGTTCACGCCCTGCTCGGACATCGAAGAATCATATTAGCAATA